TTTTTTTTTTTTTTTTTTTTTTTCCCTTCAAGATCGTACCAACATCTCTTGCTTGCAGGGAAAAGGCAACAAGCTAAAGGAAAACAAAATGAAAGGAACAATATTGAACAAAAGAGAAACCATTACAAGCCATAGAGGTACCATAAACCACATTATCGGGTATTGATTGACTGAAAAATATACACCATAAATTATTTGTCTTTATTTTAAATACAAAAATATCTTCTTCAAGCAAACAGAGAGCTTCAGAATTCTCAAATTGTTCACTGCTAATGTCTTTTCAGAGAAATTGCACCGATGATAGATATAGAGCAAAGGTGGATTCTGGTCTAAGACCAAACTTGGAGCAGGACTTGGAGCAGAATGAAAAGCAGTAGCAATGGAAACTTCTGATCTGTAGCTAAGTATGCAATGCCATGAACAAGTTCTGCTTGCGAGCATGCTCTGGAATAAGTCGATTAACAGTATCAGGTGGTATGTCAGCAAGCTCTGCCAAACAAAATCAACCCAAACCTCAGCATGAGAAGCGTGCATGAAAGTAGGTGAAGAGTAAATTGAACAAAAACATGTCTGATTATAGAAATAGATTCATCAGATGTCAGAGATCCGTAATGGACTGATCACAGGAATTTCCTAGGCATAAAATCGTGATAAAAATGTAATGAGTGCTGCAAAATAGATATCAAGATATAACTTCACTCCTTGAAACGGTTTCATCCAATTACGAGATCCCATGCGTCCTACAATATTGGTCTGAAACAGCATCCTAAGTTTCTAAATGGAAACCATGTCAACGTACATGATCAAGATACCTAGTCAATAATTGTACAAACAAAACATCTCCGCAGCACTTAGACAGCATAGCACAAAGAAACGGGTAAAACTGTTTACTCACCCTGAGGTTTAAAATTAAATAATGGAGGAAGTGGGCGGCCATTAGGAAGTCGTGTATTTGGGTCCCTTAACTCATCAAAGAAGGGGTGGACACAAGCTTCCAGCTGAAGTAAACCACATAATATTACGAGAAATGAATAATACCTTACATCCAGGAAAAATTAAAATAGTGGAAGCTGAACTTACAGCAGTACACCGCAAATTAGGTGAATACTGGAAAAACCTGCATACAAGGTCCACAGCTTCAGGAGGCAGACGTTTCTGGAAAACCTGTCCATGATTGTGGTATTCAAATAAATATCGATAGCAAGTCAATTCAGTTTCCTCTTTTTCTGTTAGGTAAGGATATTTTAAAATAATAACATACGACTACAAAGAAATAACTGCAACTTTCCCTAAATATTAGAAAACTAGTATGAGAAGAACAGAACAGTACGAAACAAATTAAAAGCATGCAGCGCTGAAGCTGAAAAACAAAGAGCCCTAGAGTGCATGTGCAAGCCTGCCCCCTGCAATTTATCCAGTGTTCCAAAACCACAACTACTGTACCTTTTTAAGTAATTAACTGATTCTATGCACAAGCTACTAGGCAAACTCCACCTGTTAAGTGAGGAATGAACATTCTCGGGCATGCAACATAATGATACTACTAGAAGTGAGCCCCCAAAGGTTGAGCATTTTGTAACTACTTAAGAGCAGAGGACAATGAACAGAAGGGCTGACGAGGGGATGATACATCATTAATCCAACTGAGATACCAAGTAAAATTATTCAACATTAAAAAAGAAACACTTGGAGGTTGAAATTGTGTATGAAACAATGAACCAAAACGTGATAGTAAGTATGCCTCCTCCAAGTAACGGCCTTTGTTTGGAAGTAGATGCTAATCTCTTGAAACTTGATGGAAAATTACATTGAAAGCATTTGGAAGAGCGAGGAAACATAGACTTGCCTTATGCCAGGGATGAGGCTTAATCTGTGGGAACTTGAACTCTGTGTAGTTTGGATTCATGCATTTTATTTCTTCTCTGGTTGGAGTCCCCAAAACCTGTGTACGTGATTGAAATGTTGAAATGTCAAGTTAAAACACATTATTTTTGTAAATGAAACCCGTCTTCAAATTCAGACATATGATAGGCAGGTATTTCCTTCAATAACATAGAACCACGATAAAAATGAACCCAATAAATGATCAAATCATAAGAGCTACAGGAGTCCTACCCGAACATGAACTCTAAGATAATATCATCCAATCGAGAAGTTAAAGCCCCCACTAATTCTCTTAATCAACAATACATACCACAGATGTAATACCAAGATGTACTGGAGCTAATTTCACAATCTTAAATGACATAGCAAACCCACCAACTTTAGGGGACTGTCCCAATATCCACTTGAGACTTGAACTTAGAATGAATATGAAAAATTAAAAAAAATAAAAAATGAGGTGATAAATAGATAGACCCACCTTGATAATTTCAACCAGTTGATCAACACCACTTTCACCAGGAAAAAGGGGCTGCAAAAGTTATCAGAATCATTAGTATTTTGAATAACACACGAAAGATCCATATAGTTATTTGAATACACCACCTTTCCAAGAAGTAGCTCGGCCATTACACATCCCGTTGACCATATATCAATTGCAGTAGTGTATTCAGTGGCACCAAATATGAGTTCTGGAGCGCGGTAGTATCTTGAGCAGATGTATGAAACATTAGGTTCCCCTTTTACCTGAACAAATGGCAAACAAATTAAATAAATTCAGAAGGAAAAAGACAATAGTTCCCACTCCATAAATGGTTCAAAAGGTACTTACCAATACTTTTGCACTCCCAAAGTCACAAAGTTTGAGCTGATGTGTATGTGGATTCACCTGAAACCAAACGCTTGTCTTAAGGCATCACTAAAAAACATTTTAGTAATCCATTTGTTTTTTTTTTTTTTTCCTTGTTACTTTCTGTAGTCAAAACTAAAATAAGAAAAAATAAATAATGGACAAACATATGAATCCAGTCATCTAATAAATCCGTTGATCTTAATATCCCAGCCAATCAAATATTTGTGAAATATGTATAATAGGTGAACGTACAGACGTTACCAGACTTTAAGCCAAATTCTATGGTCGACCAGAAGTTACTACAAGGGCCAGCTCCTTATATGGAAAGCAACAGTCACGGGATCAGAACATAATCATGTACTCATAGGTGATAGTAATAGCATTAAGATGTATCCCATGAAACCTTCCACTTTAAGTCAACCATCGAGCAAAATAATATCATCTTTACAATTAATATTTACAACTGATTCAATCAAGTAGTGTTGAAATTCTTTACCAAAATTCATAGCACTGGTAACACATCAATTATCCAAAATTCCAAAAAATAATCTCAAATTTAGGAAATTTTAAAAATTGCACCATGTTTCATTTCTCGTGTTTAGTGTTTTTGGATAACAAAATAATACTTTCATCATAAAATTAATAAAAGATGAAAAGAAGCCGAGATAGGCTACCCTAAGGCAAATAATAATAATAATAAATGTAAGAGATAACACAGTAGAAACTCAATTTTTTATGAGTAAAATAAAGGAATATTCTCAAAAACCTATCCAACAGGTCCCAAAGTCATGCGAGAAAAGCTCTAAGCCCCACATTAGAGTTTCCATCAACATTCAATCCAAACATCACAACCTAATTCTTAAGGCGGCATAAAAAAGAAACACATGCAAACCTGAAACAATTACGAACAATATGATAGCATATAAAACATAATACTAAGCTCATATGCAATAAGTCTCACACGTAATTCTAAACCTGAAAACTTGTGAGAGAAACTTACAAGTAAGTTTTGAGGTTTGATATCCCGGTGGCAGATACCAATGCAATTATGTATGTATGCCAGTGCCCTACAAATCTGCAACATAAAAGACAAATGATCATAAGTTTCTAATAGCATAATTACCAAACATTACAATCCAGATAATGTTGATCTAGAAACCAAAATGTATGTTATTAACTTATAAGTAACATTGTTACATGCAAAAGCATATATTTGTACCTTTTATAGCCCCAAAAGATTGAGCACCTATGCAGAAACTTCTTAATACCAAGTGACATTAAAATAATTCAAAAAAGAAAATAGAACAAAGGCCCTTACACTAGAGAGGAATATAAATATGATTGCCATCTATCACTATAACAGAACTAACCAAAGTTATTCCAAATTTTATAATTACAATTCACAACTACCATTACTCATATCTTCATTCATGAAATTTAAGCATGCAAACTCTATTGTAAATGAGAGGACATATGCAACAAGGAGCTATAGAGACAAAAGTTCAAATCTACTACAAATTATTATTGATTAAATACCTGATAGGTATATAGTTTAACATAGATTAAGGGCATTCGCTGACTGATCCTGCTGTAGTTCCTTGCAATACGGTTGACAGTTTCAGGAACAAATTCAAGCACGAGGTTCAAATAGAGCTCTTCTTTGTCTGTTGTTGAAAAGAAACAATGCCTAAGGGAAACAATATTTGGGTGATCCAACATTTGCATAATCTGCAGCTCCCTATTCTTGTATCGCTTGTCTTGAAGAACCTTCTTGATTGCAACAATTTCTCCAGTTTCTCTACATTTTGCCTATCAAAAGTGACCAGGTTACCTCAGTTTTTCAACTATGAAGTTTCACGGAAGAAACATTGAATAAGCATTGCATTAGATACCATGTATACTTACTTGAAAAACAACACCAAAAGAACCAGTTCCAACTACATGTTCAGAAATATAGCTGATAGTCTGGCACACCAAAACAAAACATATGTCACAGAACAATTAAGACATCATCATCAGAAACATTTTCACTTCCAACCTGCTTAGATTGACCATTTCGACCACCAATTGTGGTTCTTATCACATGCCCTGCTTCAGCACCCACTCCGTCAATGATGTCTGGCTCACTATCCTAAATGAATGAAATCATAAAAATGCCAAAAGAAAAAGAGGGAAGTAACGGTGCCATGCTTTCATTATACAATAAATAGCTTGGGTAAAGCTACTGCAATAAGAGATTGCAAGAGTTTCATTAAACTGCCAGACTTGAGCTAGAAAATATTAACAACCAAAATCCAGAAGCTTACTCTCTCCTCGTCAGTGTCTGTTTTATCCCTCAGTCTCATCTCATGCATCTCTCTCCCGAGCCAGTCAATTGAGCCAGATGAACCCTTGAAGCCATTGATAGACCTAGAACTGCCAACTTCCCCATTTCCTAGGCTCGCAGACGCCATTTTGTTATCTCTGTTACTTAGGAGTACTGGTATTAATTACCATCACGGGTCTTTGCACTCCTTCACTCCACACTACCCACGTACAAAGGTTTCTATTGACATGGCAAGAAATGAAGTTAGGGATGAAATAAGAAGAGTGAAAAAAAAAAAAAAACGATGACAAAAGTTCAATAAAATATATAAATGGTAACAGATCGAAGGACATAAATATTTGCGATATCAAAAAGACGATTACGATTCTCCAGAAACTTAAAGATTATTCTATTTAGTATTCCAAGCGAACAATATGCATCCATTATAGTTCTTTTTCCTTTGAACACCGAAAAGGGGTCTTTGTAACAATCAGAATCAGAATCAGAATGCAAATAAGAAATCAAGCATGATCTGCCCAAAGACTCAAACCATAAAACGAACACACTCGGTCGGATCTAAACTTCAATCGCACAGCCTTCGCTTCCACAACTAAACCCAAAATTTAATTTCAAACTTGAGGATGAAAAACAGCGATAAGAAAAAAACATAGAATCGATACAATTCTGGAATGGAATCGGCAAAGAACGTGGCGAATTAGGCAAATAAACCCTAGTAAAGCTCAGAGAAGCGGAAATTGAAGCAGATCGTTGAGAAAGCACATTAACCTGGGAGGATTTCGCCGGCGATTGGAAGCAATGGTCGTTCATCATAAGCTCCCGATGAGAAGTTTGGTTGGGGGATTTTTCTCGGGCTATGGCTCTGGTTTGTATTTTATGGAGCGTACATGGTGGGGGAGTGGAGGTCGGATTTGCTCAGTTAGCGTGAAGTGCATTGAGGTATATGACAGAGACTGTAGAGCTTTGTGATTTCGTAAAAAACGAAAAAAATAATATAAAAAAAAACTATATATTGAAATGGTTTTTCTCCAACATTTTTTAGCGGTGAAAATCCTTTTTAAAATAACATCCCCAACACGTCAAACTTGGTCAAATGTTTTATTGTTTTTTTTTTTTTTTTAATGAAATTTTCTAGATTTAATTTATAACGGAATCTCCATCTTTACCGGAAAAAGAAAGAAATAAAAAGACAAGGTCAGTTCATTTCGAAAAAAGACCCACGCCCAAATTTCATAGTTTTGGGTTCGCAATCCCGATCATGATTTTTCCATCTTTAAAGGGAAGAATCCTTCCCTTTTTGGCCCGTTGTGGGTGAGGAGGGATTCGAACCCCGACACTGTAGTTCATAGCCATGTGCTCTAATCTTCTGAGCTACAAGCCCCACCTCGTCTCTACTAGATCTATCCTCGAGGGTACCCTAACATAAGAAGATGAGAAGAAAATGTTGTTCAAATATCACAAGAGGTTGAAATTCATGTAAAAGAAGAATCTAGAGTTACCGTATTTCTTTAACCTACTTTAAGTCTTTTACTTACTTTAAGATTAAATTTATAAAGTGACTAATTATGGTCACTAAGTATACTTAGTAGCTAATTATAGTAATAAAGTATAGCAGATTATCAGATTATGGTCATAAAATATGAACTATAACTCTTGACATGTTTAATGACTCTTTGTGAAATATTTTGGTCATAAAGTATACAAAGTGACTAACCATCGTATTATCGTACTTTACAATTAACTTTACGATCACATATACCATTATACTCTGCAATAAAATAAGTATATTATATGATTCAAAATATTTATCCATTTTACTAAAACTATTTGCACGACTTCCAAATGACTATTTGTGTCGTCTTAGGCCCTTAATTTTCTTAATTAAGAACAAATTAACGGATAAACAAGTTTAGAAGGGCATATTTTGGTCTCCCAACTCGACGTGCAGCTCATAACTAGTCCATCACCTATTGTTGAGGTAGGTGAAGAAGAAAGGGAATGCATTATTAGTTTCAACATTTTGGGAGGAGAAGTTATCGTATACCAAAACGACTTCAACGTCAACAATGGTCAATAGTATCTAGCCTTCAAATTGATTTCAACAACATCATTACTAGTTATACTTCTCACATTGGGTCATTCAACTTCAAAAAAGTGGTTGTTCGGGAATGTATATTGTTCATTGTCTCCCATTTAGGAGCTAAAAAAAGAGCAACACGTCCACCTAGGAAGTTTCGAATGGATGGTCAATGACCTACGTGACATTCTGATTTGGATTATAGTTTCTATGTAATCCCCGAAAAAATTTATTTTTGATTTGCTTCAGCATCAAGGTTAGCAATTTGTACATATATGTCATCAGACATTAGCATTAGGGTTTTTTTTTTTTTTTCAGATTTGCTACACTATTATGGTTCAGCATAAATGTTTTGAAATTTTACCAAATAACTCAATTAAATATGCAATTAGGCTCGATTTATGCAAATTGATTTTTTTTTTTTTCATGTTGAACCACGATGAACTATTTCATGTATACAAATTAGAATAAATAGAGTCATTAATGAGAAAATGGTAAGTATGAGTACAAAGTTAACTGCTTAACTACTCATCATTAAATGTACAACCACTATTAACCAACTATACGAAGCATCAAACTTGATAGTATACACCTTTCTATATTGTCTTATTCTGGTTTAACTCTATTTGCTTTGTAACGATCCAATTTTTCGAACATTTATCTGTCGTAGATCTCACTTGAGTATTCTAACATCTAAAATTTCCTAGTTTCCATAAAGGGAGTGTGATAACGTATACGCTTCCCTTTACTCCATAGGGTCTGATCATTGCAGGGTTCGGTGGCCCGAAATTGACTTGGCTTAGCCAAAAAGCCTCATCTCTATCAGTCCGGCTGGCGAGGCGTCCCGCCCGCAATAGGGTTAGGAGTATTCTAACAAGAAACTTCTTAAATAGAGAAAAACATATAAATGTCATAGTTGTCCCATGGTGACTTTCCCACCCTGCTAGCAATACGATATTGTGCTTACTTGAAAATTATTCTAAAAATAGGGAGAGTATTAAAAATATTGAGTAAGGCATTCTCCTATTAGGATCAGATATGCAAACTATTATACAACAATCAATCAAACTTGAGGCACTCTGGTGGTTGATTATCCAAAATACACAATGTGTAATCTACTCATTAAAAATCATTTTCGGGAATCACTCCTTAGTGACCATTGGTAACTGGTTACCTGATACACACAACGTGTACTCTTTATCACAAAAATAATTATTAATCATCTCCTGTGACTATTAGTGGTTAGCTACACGATATACACAGTGTGTAGTCCTTCTCACACTCTTTATATTTATAAATCATAACATGCATGTATATATACGGTCCCAAAACATATACTTTTTATAACCAATAAAGCATGCACCACACAACGTACAGTCATCACTAGTATACATATCTAACCGTATTTAGAAAACAAAACGATTTTAGTTGCAATAGGAAGGTCACTTACCTACGGGCTTTGCAAGTCCTATTCCCACTTAATTAGTTGCATCTTTTTTTTAGTTTCAATAGGTTCATTCAAGGATTCGCTCCAATCCACTACAAGATTTTATTATCTCTTCTCCTTCCTTATGTACTTTTCTTCAAGAATTAGACAGAAGTTCTTAATATGGTGGAATAACTCCGTGTAGGTCGTTACAAACTTCGAGAGACAAGTCAAGCCAATCTTAGAAATAGGATAAAACGTCGACTAATGCCAACCAAGTAAGTGGTTTTACTATCAGTATAGTTAAAAAATTTGTGTTATGCATGATGACACGTGCTCAGAGGCCCTGCACGTGTCATATGCTTGATATTTGTATTGTGTTTACGATATGGTATGTTGAATAATATGATATATTGTACGATATGATATGTTGAATGATAGAATATGATATGATATGATATATTGCATGACATGATAGGTGGTATGACATGATGTGTTGTACATCTGACATGTTGTAATGATATGATATGAATTTTTATATGATATGCTCTGTAACATTAAAAATACAAATGGAAGATTTAAGACTACATATAACATGTTGTACATATGATATGATATGAATTTTTATATGATGTGTTGTACATATGCCATATTATGTCGAGACCGAGTGAAAGAAGGAAAAGTCGCTCAGGAGTTTGAGGAATTATGATAAGCTATGAAGTGCCTAGATATGCTGTAACATGTATGACATATGATGAAATGTTTAGAGATAAGATGATTTAAGACGTACAACCCCCGAGACGAGACATGTTTGAAGGCTATGCTATAAAAGAAATGAAAGGAAGAAAATGGGGGTTGTCTTACATTATTTATTTACTATGAAAAATGTTAAGGATCTCATGCATATTGTATACTCATTTACATCGGTATATTTCTCCTTTTATGATGAGTATGGACGCGTACACTATGATGATGATGATAACTATCATGTTTGGCATGATACACGACGGTTGTGGTATCTTCGGACGTTCGACTATAGCTAACTATTCCGACCATACAGGCCCATGGGGTGGTGAGCCCATCTAGTGAGCTCATGCTCACACTTGTAGGTCATGTGTTTGGAAGTATTACACATCCAATTTGTCCGGACTGTAGGCCACCTAAGAGACTATGATTTTAAATGATAAGTCCCTAATCATAATTGCATGTGTTTGCATTCTTGACTCCAATAGTGGGGTCACTTACAGATTATTTCTTAAAATACTCAAGTCATGTGCTACATCTATATTTCAGGTAAAGGCAAGACACTCGTGTACGGTTGATGGTGGCATTGCAATTAAAAACCATGGAACTTGAATAGGTAGTTGCATTTATTTTCGTAGATCGTACGTTAGTATAGGCCATTGCTATTTTAACATTTTCCTTGGTTTATTTTAATTTACTTCAAATATTTCTTTTGCACTGTTTTAAGACCCTTTTTTGACATCGTTTCATGAAGTCGTTTTAAATGAATGTTTTCGTATAAAGAAGTTGCGTCATTCATATGGTAGCGACTCTAGGTCAATAGAAAATTAGGGTCGTTACAAACAATTTACATGAATCTATCGTTCAAATGTAGCGGGAACCCTCTTGGAGTTTAGACAACCAAGTACTTTAAAACCGATAAGGAACAAATCGCTCCGTAAATGGTGGATAGAGTACCTGGAGTGTTTTACGAATTCCTTGGGATAGTTTTAGCATTTGCTTGGATGGTTAAATAGAATGTACAAGAGATATTCTCACACTCAATCAAGTCTGTCAACGTTGATATGACATCAAATTGAATTTAAAAAGAGTTAGACACATTACCTCGACATCTAAAGGGACGTTAATTGTGAATGATGTCATAGTGGAGTTTTGTGATGAACTAGCAACAGAAAGCATACCTGAGAAGAGCTTGATTGTGCAAAGAGAGAATGGATCGTGCGCAAGAGCCATAGTGCTAGGGGAAGTGTTTATGCTTGGGCACAACACGATGAGGCATTAGATGATTAGTTGCCCATGAAAAGAGAACTTAAACCATGATCAGAATCGGAGGAGTATAGTAGAACAAAGTTGTTTTATAACAATAAGAAATGATTATAAGAGAAAACCGTCAAACTCCGTACTCAAGTTGAACTCCCTAGAGTATGATGTATAGACTTAAGATCAACCACATTGTACTTTACTTATCTTTCGTTACGCCACGAACTTACGACTCGCACCTCGATTAGTAGGGTGTCACTTATTATATTACTGCCTCGATTGGTAGCCATGCAATTTTGTACTGGCCACGTGACCTGATTGTTCTAAGTAGGGCAGTATCTTAGATATGATTGCGTATTGTGTATGGAGATAGATATGGGCTCCCGAATAGAACCCATGCTCTATAAACCTACTTTGGCAGGGTGAGGGACTGGGCAGTCCAAGAGCCTAACTCATGATCACGTGAATGAATATTGCATGAATTTGCAAGAATGAATGATAAGGAGCTCAAGTTAAGAACTGTAGTACCTTAACTAGACTCATGATATGATCAAGAGTTTATAAGACCATCACAAGACAAGAAATTCGATATCCCAACACTATAGCCGACATGGGTGCCAATGACACATCGATCAATATTGAGGAAAGAATCAATAAAAAATGTATCTTATGAGGTGTGGAGAGGCAAACCAATTATTTGTTATCTATGAGGCATTTATGCTAACTATGAAGGAACACCCTTACTGACTCACGAAGCATCAAAGGAGGGAAGTCGAGACAAACCTTGGATTACACATGAGAAGGGTGTTGTATGAGGACATACGAGCCCATATGATGTTGGGAAGAGTACGACACAAAAACAAATTGTCGCTAGCAATGTGATAGAGAAGCTAGTTGTCGTATATGCATGACACTTGGAGTTGTTAGCAAAGGCTCATAGCTCAACAATGCATCTAGGCAATGCAAAGATGTACCGAAATCTTGAGACCTATTATTGTTGACTTGATATGTAGAGGGTTGTGGTGGAGCACGTAACCAGTATTTGACTTGTCAGCAAGTTGAAGCACATAGGTAGAAACCCTCATGATTATGACATCCCGTAAGTATTCCACAATGGAGGTGTAAGGACGTGCCAATGAAGTTTTATCTCGAAGCTGCTAAAGGTAAGAAAAGGCTTCACCATGATTTGGGTCATTATTAACAGACTAACAAAGTCGGTATATTTCATGTCAGGTAAGGCCACATGAGTACGATGTACTTGGAGGAAATTATTAGATTGTAAGACGTGCCAATGTCTAAAGCGTCAAATCAAGATCTAGGTTTTCAATGGAGGTTTAACATAACTGTTCAACCTCAAACTAGTACACAAGCAGAACTACTCCATCAGATTCTTGGAAGAATGTGCCTTGGATACGGTAAGTAGTTGAGACGAACCCAAGCATTTCGTAGAATTTGCCTATAATAATAGTTATTAGACAACAATAAAGATGCATCATTTGAAGCTTATATCGTAGGTGGTGTTGTTCCGGAGTTGAAAATCAATAGTTGTTAAGGTCTAAGTTGGTATAGATGAAGAATAAGGTAGTACATAAGATTAAGGTACAGGTTGCATAGAGTGTATAAGACCAATCATCGTTGATTTCAAACCACTACCTCTGCGAAAAGATTTGGGTTTCAAGGAATGACCCACACAGATTCTTGCAAATTGTTTGAAGACCATACGAGAGGAGTCAGTTTGTTGAAAGTGCAATGGAGAAAACTGACAGCTAGAGGAAGCAAGCTGAATACGAACCAGATAACCAAAATTAATTCAAAAGTTCTAATGGTAATATTCAGCTTTCAAACCAAAAAGAAAAAAACCCAAGACCTATTATGTAACGTTCATGTGTGTTACATATCATGTAATCAAAGATAACTTCTTCATCATATTATGTATGAACGCATACTCTACAATATTATTCTTGTTCCTTTGTTCTTCATTGTGAACTATAATATGAAAAAAATACTACACATCCAACCTTACTCACCATCATGAATTATAGGTCCCTTTCATATTGGTCACTAAATATTTTTAAATACTCATTCTATGATTAACAACACAAAAGCTCCAAGTACAACTTAAAAGTTCTATTGTTAGGATAAATTAGCTATATTTCCAGATTTGAATTTATTTTCGGGGATGTTTATCAATCACCTTCGGGTAAAAATGCATTTTAAATAGATTTCCATAAATAAATAACTTTTTTAAAAAAACCATCATTTACATGCATGTAGAAGAGTCTTATTTTTAAGGACAAAGTAGGGTCGTTACAACAACTCCAAATACCTCAAATCTTTACCAACCTGAGCTTCAAGGTAAGTAACAGTACTATACAAGTGAAAAATGTAAGATAATACAAGTTGTTTATAGTAATAAGATTTAAAAGAAATGGTGCTCCACCATCCAACTTTTCGAATAATATTACAAGTGAAGACATGTTTATTGAACAAAATAGTGTGTACTTTGTTGCCAATAAAAATACGTAGATGATACATGAAGTATTAAGCACACCATTCCTTTTGATGTCTAAAAACCTATATGAAGCTTCAACATACATTAAAAAGAAAACAATGCCAAAATTGAAGTGATGGATGGGAAAGAGCAGACCCGAAGGAATACCTCATTCCTGTGATGCACCCACATTTGTTGTTGAATCCATTGGCTCAGCCACGGTTGAATCATCTGGTTTATTGTCGCCTTTCTTACCTGAATTTTGTCAACAAAACTTGGTTCAATATATCCATCCATCCATACATTATCTTCTAAACAAGTATGGATTGCAATTACCTTTCTTCTTCTTCCCGCCACCCTTCTTCTTAGTCTTTGTTCCAAGTGCTAACCAGGCCTTTATTTCAGGATCATCAATAGTTTTTGTAGGTTGAAGTTCTTGCAGTGCATGAGACGCAATTCGGTCCGATCCATTAGGCATCAGTAAGACAGTAAATTTAATGTGGGCGACGTAATCGCCTGCAAAATAACCCATTGCATGAGAAGGTACACTACTTAGAGCAAGATTAAAAAAAAATCGAAAAAGGAAAAGATGATTGCTACCAGGCTTTTCATGGAGGACGGGATATGGTTGCAATAGATCATGATTTACACATTCAACTAGTCCCAGCCTACCTCTTTTCTCTTCCAAAGCCCTATTATTAAGGTGTTAAACCTATGCTTCAGAATTGCAGAACCAAATGGCCTCCCAAATAAATTCATTGTCAAAACACAACCAACCTAGCAGTGAAAGGTAGAATGGGGAATTTCTGACTTATTTCACTGAAAATAAACCTAGATGCTTTTATTTTCAAGTGGTAATTCTTGTCCACAGCTCTTTTATATATGGTCGTCTGCTTCTCATCGACCAGCTTAGGCTGCACAGAATTGTTCATTCATAAACAATTGGTATCACATGACATGTTAACCGGTAACGGTGGTTAGTTAGGTGAAAGGCCTTATTACCTTGCCTTCACCTGTGCTTGTAACTATATCTATGGCATAAACTTCATTCTCTTCAAACTCTGCATCATCAACTCTTGTATCTGGATTTGAGACACTGAGAACAACCTTGTTTCCATCGATCACAAATTGCTTCAACTGGTGGCTAAGCACCCCTTCAACAATTTTGCAATCATAAGCAGCAGCGACCTTTTGAAGGGCTTCGGTTACATCTTTATTCTGAAATCAGAGGGGTTTCAATTAATCAATAGAAATTTTCAAACAGAAATCCATTATGAATTAAAAGGAAAAAGAAAGAACATCCAATTATGTATTAGTCAACAAAGTGAAACAGCATAACTATGATTCTAAAGGCCTCAATAACTATATATAACTCCCAAGTTACGGGAAAACAGATTATTGGTTAACTATATAAATTCTACCCACTATGACAAGACATCACAAGAGACTATCAGAATGTATATCGTTCAACAATTTGGACAATTGAGACATCGGCATCAGCCTATGATATACCAAAACTGACCATTTACATTATAGGCAACAAGGAAAAGAGACAAAGCAAAAGTTGCAAATCACTTCGGCAAAGTTGCCTTCATTATCCAGTAATGGGAAAATAGATTGTTTAATAATATAAATTCAACCCACCACATCATAAGACATCACAAGAGATTACCACGACAATATATATTCATTAACTTGGACAAGTGAGACCACATACATCATCCATGAAAGTCAGCCTATGATATCCATAATTAGACCATGCACAGTATAGGCAACATGGAAAAGAGGCAATCCACAAATCACAAATAGCCTCCGGCAAAGTTTCCTTCCTAATTCAGTGGACTATAGTTGCTTCAATGACCTTTATTTCTGTAGGGAACATACTTTGTTCCATCAATAGTCAAACTTCACAACATTGACTCGGTAAACTAAATCTGAAATGGTGAGTGAAAACAAATAAATGATTTGTGTTGGAGCAAGATCAACTGTACACGGTAATATCACCATTGGTTTATTTTGTGAGCTTCACAAAAGAAATAAACCTTCAACATTGGAACCGTTAAAGTAGGATACCAAAATATAAAGTTAGAGAACAAACTGCAACCATAAACCTATAGCACTAACAAAATTCCACTGAAAATATGGGTCACTAAGATCACAGGCATCAGCCATACACAGTATGTCCACCTACAGTGATTCAAGCATGACCATACTCAATATGGGCAACAGGGAAAAGAGGTAATCAACAAGTAACTAATCACCTCGGCAAAGTTGCCACTAAATCTTTTTGCACATGGCGATGTCTCCCCCATGAACTAGACAATACAATGCAAAAGAGCTCCTTCCACACTCCTACTAAAAGCCTAGTGGACTTGAGGGGAAGAATCCTATAAATTCCGATAAACAAATATCACCATGCAACAGAGGAACTGTATCTTATAAATTATGACAAACAAATACCTATATAGATCCATAACATAAACGTGTTTTCAATATTGTAATCAAAATTTCCAAATAACTAGTTAAGGATTAATACTCACAAATGTGAGTTTGAACAAGTTCTTAATATGTTTAAGTACTTATTATATTCCCTATCAGAGTAACTATGACAAAAGCCTCACATGGTGCATAACTATAGCTTAAGACAAAAGTTCATCATTTAGGGGCAGAAGGACTGAGATGCACATTGTGAAGTAACATAACCATGACTAACTGATAGTTTCTATTACAAACAATTAATCCACATAATCTAAAGGCCATGCAGTGAATCGCAACCTTGGTCGTTAAACTAATCGAGTAATGGCGATAGTAAAAGACGAAAATAATTGAAAGAAAATGGCAAAAAATCATAAGAAATCATAAAAATATTAACATACAAGATCTTGAATCAAGTTCTACAATTAGAAAAGGTTCCAAACAGTAATAGCAAGAACTATTACCTTTTTACCAGGCCGAACAAGTCTCAAGGCAACTTCGGCAGCAGTGTTAGCCGCTGCAATGACATCAGCAGCCCTTCCAGTGACTGGACCTTCTTGCAGAACATGAGTATGAGCAGCTACAGCGATGAACCCATCAATGTGACAGCCCATATCACTGCCGCAAGAAAGACCCCATCATCAATCAACTGTCATTAAACACTCCACGAGAAAACAGCAATCAATTAATGTATAAGTCAGTTACATTTTGAGTATATCTCCTTCTTCCATCACTGTTTGATCGCTAGCCAGAGGTGAAAAGTGGCCGACTATGTTGTTTACAGAGATGCAAGTTGGAAAGGCAACGCCCCGTTCTATCTTCTTCTTAACATTCTTGTACATGTTGCCAGTTTGCCTTCACATTCGAACAAAAATACTTACAAAACACGAACAGCAAAAAATGGGGTAAATCTTGGAAGTTCTAATCCTGAAACCTACTCTCTGATAAACGAATCTCCTATTTCGCAAACGTCAACGATTTTTGCTTTAGGTTTACATTCGGATAACACCAGCTGCAATGCTTCTGCAAGATTTTCCGGTTTCCATCAACAGTGTCGTAATTCATATTCAATTAGACATGCTAATGAGAAAGACAATGGCAATGATTGCAAAAGAAAGACAGAAATAACTCACTGTTTATAATCTCGGCAGCATTTTTGTACTTCGTAACAACATCCGGAGAGGAGAGATCCAACTCTACCTCCTCCCTATCATCGTCCGACGACATAAATTTTGAGGTTCAAAAACTCGTGAACTACCTGAAACAAATGATTCACGACGAAGAATTCAAGTTTACCAGCAAAGAACAATGAAGAAAATAGGGTTAGCTTCTTCTATGGCCGCGTTTGTTTATATAGGAATGGCTCTGAGCTGGTTAGGGTTTTGGGTTTTCTTATTCCACTTTTCTTCATTCTACTTTTTATTGTTATTTTTAAAATAACCATTTTATACTTATATTTAATTTATACGTCACATTATTACATCTTTAAAATTTATTTTCTTTTTAACGGTATAAATAATTTAATTTAACTAATTAATAAAAAAACAAAACAAGTTGTACTCAAGCTTAATTATTAAAATATTTCATCCAAAATAAAATTCTTAATTTGTCCTTACAAAGGTCTCCCTATTTTAAATAATAATATTTTAGAAATTTTATACAAAATTCTTTAAAATCAAGTGTAAAAATTTAATTAATTATAAAATAGACTTAAATACTATTTTATTCTTTAAAATCAATTATAATTGAAAGATATTTTAATTCACGCCACATTAAAAAAGAATAAAGTTTCATTGTCACAAAATTTGGGTGGATTACAATTTAGAGTAATTTAAAGTTATTGTATTTCATTAATATATTCTAAGACTTTTTATTTACTTTAGGTTACATTTACATAACCGTAATTATGATCATAAAGTATGAATTCATGGAATGCCTTTAATAGTTTAATTTTGAGGCCATATAAAGTCATGGATGTTATATTTGTAAGGAAACTTGGAAAATATAATAAAATAAGCATTTATGCTTTCTTTAGTCCGTAGCTAAGTTTCTTTACAATTCTGTGTAGTTTAGGTTGCATGTAGAATCATTCAAGCTTGACATGATCAATTTTGTTTGTGGAGTGATTCGAATCTCAAACAAGTGTTCTTGGCTTGAAATATTTGATCAAAAAGAATCATTCAAGCTAGACATGATCGATCTTGCTTGTGGAGTGTTTTGAATCTCAAACAAGTGTTCTTGCTTTGAGATATTTGATCATTAAGATAATCTGAATCTTACTCTCTCGTAGTGATTCCATATCAACTCCCAATAGGAAGGTAGAACTCAATAGTAAAAAGCTCACAGCTAGAATAGTCGTAGTCAAGGTTCCTTGTCTTGCTTCATATGCAAGGAGGCCATTGAGAATCTAAATGGCTACAAAAGGCGACACTATATGCCTTCGAACCAAAACTTGAAATGAATTCAGAAGCTAAATACGAAAAGGTAGAAACTAAAATATTGTTAATTAAGAACGTTGAACACCCCTTGCATGGGGACACTAAATTACTTTTCTACTCTGCAGACGAGAGTGGAAAAGATAGAAGAGTCAGTGGAATGCGGTCTTATGTATGTTGAGGCCTGGGTTAATCATAGAGTGGCTAGGAATACCATTGTCGACTCTAAAGCTACTCACAAGTTCATGACGGAGACCGATGCAAAATGTTTAAACATCCATTGGTATCGAGACATAAGAAAGATGAAGTTCATTAATTCGGTAGTCTTATCTGTCTTAGGAGTTGCAAAGAGAAGTCCGATCAAGTTGGGGACTTGGACTGGACAAACGGATTTTTTGATAGTCAAGATGGATGACTTCAACATCCTGTTAGGGATGGACTTCTTACTAGAACACAGTTATTCTCATGCCCTTAATAAAATGCTTAGTAGTAATGGAGTCCAACCCAAAGATCATTTAGAAAACACCCATCAAACAAGAGGGGTAAATATGACGTCGACATTACAAATGAGAAGGGATCTTAGCAATGATGAACCTACGCTTGCTGCCATTGTCGTAGTTGAAGAGGGGAGCTCGAGTGAGGTAACCCCAACAGAAACCTCGTGGTCACTACATAAACACCGTGACACAAGACCAGAAAGTCAGACAAAGTATTTATCTTCATTTGGGTTGATAGATCACGAGATTGATTTTATATCGGGGGTAAGATCGCCTACCACAAGTGTGTGTCATGTAGCTCAACCTGAGCTAGCTGAATTATAAAACAACTAAATGATTTGTTGACAATCCGGTTCATTAGACTCGCAAAGATTCTTGTCAGTGATCACCCAATTAGTGTGGAGAGACCCCAACCCAATAACTTTATGGTAGGGAGGAGATAAACCTCCGAAGGAACTCGTGTTTACTTAAAAAAAACCATCTAGAGAAATGGAGAAGGGCTAGTTGGAAGCGTCAGCCACAAAAATTTCAAAATAGTGAGAAAATTCAGATCAAATTGAGGTCATATCAACTCCGAGTTCAAAGTAGCATGAGCCAACAATGGGTGCGAAAATACTATAGACTAGTCAAGAATAATAATAGAACTAGAGGAGCAAAGTTGGTCGACGAGAAGAGGAGAGGAGCTAAGCAGTGAGACCAATAAAATAGGTTCATGCAATGGAATTGCTTTACTGAGTTGACAGGGAATGAGCGAAGCCAAGATGGCTTGGTAAGCAAGCAATCTATTATTTAGGGCCCAACTCCAAGTTCGTTCTCTTCTTTCTTTTTGAGGTTAGGAAGGTATCATATAGGATCCAATTGTCCCATGGATGCAAACACAAGGAGGTGGTACGACCACATACAACTAAGATAAATTTCGTAGCGAAAAAAGTAGGAGAGAATCTGACAGGGAAGACAGGAAGAGTCGACGAATTGAAAAGTAATTTTCAATAGTTCGTGGCAGATTAGAAAAGACTCCTCAATGCTAAGATCAGCTGGAAGCGTGTCGAGAGACCTGAAGTCAACCTCATCCTAAATCGCTGAGTTTGTGAAGAGTTAGTTGATATAGACGTTAATCAATTGAGTGGGAGAGGATGTCACAGTCAAGCTTGTCCAAGCATGTTGCCTGTGGTCGTGTGTGTCGGATGTCCCAAATCATGCTTGTCCAGGACATGTTGTCATGACTGCATGTCAGTTCCAAACCTCTTTTACTTGCTTCCATGTTAGATAGCCCTTTACTATTCTTATTATGTCAATACGGAGATGCATAACCGGTCACCAAAATCATGTCTACACTCGACAGGGTTAAAATGCCCCAACATATACTATATGGGGCAAATTATATACTATCAAAGATGTGGTTGTTGTTTATTCACTTTTAGCCTATAACATTACTCTCTTTAAAATTATTTTTAACACATTTTCTCTCATGTTTTTTAGAAAATTTCTCTAAAATGTGACCCAAAGCTCGAGCTTTCATCAATATTGTTCGCAAAGTCTGAATCTCACATGGCTGACTTGTTTGTTGGGTTAGAACAAATGTAGCACAATCACAATCTCGCTGCCACAAGAGAGTGATTGTGACACAAGGCATTCCACCTAGTGTAGCACTTGATAGTGGGTGATTAATGGTCACTTAAGATCTAAGTTCACTGCCACAAGAGAGTGATTGTGGTGTGTTCCTAAGAAATTTAGACAATTGTACCGGTTTGATCCTGAGCCATGGAAAATATTGAGTTTGCTCCTGAACTCGTAAAAAGAGTTGTATACCAATTTGATCCTGAGCCGTAGAAATGATTGAGTTTGCTCTTGAGCTCGTAAAAAGAGCGGTGTAGCGGTTGGGCTCTGATCCAAGGAAAGAGTTGAGAAAGTTTTATTCAAATTTTCAAGAGGAGCTCGGTGAGTGGAGTAAGTCGAGTTTGACCGAACCACTATAAATCTACAATGTTATATTTTCTAACCCTTTTCTATTTAAATTCTAAATTGTTATTAAGTTTTATGGCATGTTATAAGTTTCTTTTATAATTATTCAAGTTTATTGTATTAATTATCATATTCTATTTATTTAGAAAAGAAATTTATAATTAGAAAATTTTAATCAGGCTTAAATTTTTTTATTTAGAAACTTATTCACCCCTCTAGGATTGCCATATACTCTAACTATCTCAAAAAAAACTACTTTTATTTTTAACTTATTCATCCCTCTAAGATTACCATATACTCTAACTATCTCAAAAGAAACGACAGTGTCTCCTATATTGCCTCTGCCGATAGGTCATTACAGTTAGCTGTCACAGAATGAGTCATCCTAGGGCGTCAATCGAGTTTGTGTATTTTGAGATTTTTTGTATTTTGTTTGAAATTGTAACGGGAACTCATTTCCTCTTTGTAATAAATTTGAATGGCAATGAATCATAAATAGATTTATGTTTTCTTTTTACTTGTGTTGTTTAAGTTAAATTGCCCAAAATTTTACCCAATTTTACTATGTTTTTTATTTCTATTTTTATTTTATTTGCTTTTGTTGTTTAAGTTGGATCCAATTATAGAATCTAAATAAACTGACCTCATGGAGACAGAATGTTGAAATAGAACAGGGTCGAACAGCTTACCAAAGCCCCTACCCCTCTGGAGATACACCCCATTTAGAAGGTTCACAAGGATCCAATATGACCACTCAGATTTATGTTGCCTATGGAAGCAAATAGAATTTCGGCCCAACATTTTTTTTTTTCTTTTGTAGGGGAGGGATTGACTTCTCTAACGCATATTTAGTCGTACCAAAGTGTGATTGTTTCGTAAATTAAAAGTTAAATAAGTAAATAAATATAAGAGAAATAAACCTTTACATTTTTGTTAACAATTTTTTTTATTAAGTTATTCAATTCCATCCAAACCTAAAGATTTCACATTTTTGAAGATGTTTTACTTTTATCCTGAACTTATAAAAGTGAATCAAATATGACTTTAAATAAATTTATTGCGAAAATGAAGGATAGAAATTGACATGAAAATAAAGTGGTAAACAGGGAAACAGCATGGCTTTTAAGAAAAGAAACAATAAACGTGTGGGCAACTACGGGCAAACACGAAGTAATCAGTAGATGATTTAGGTGCAATACATTCAAATTTCACCTATTGAAAGCTTTGACATCGAAAATAGCTAATAGTGGGATACAAGCCTAAATCAAAGCTTTGAAATATGAAGGAAGAGATCCAAAACCTGCGGTTACCAAACAAGACATCAAGTGAGCTGTGCTGCTGGGGAGAGTCCGCAGGCTTGGCTTCCCGCTCCCTCTAGCCTTGCGTTCGGCTCAAACGGCCATTGCTGCACTTTTCATTCTCCCCATGTTAAGACTTCAATGGCTGGTTGCTAGAGCAGTAACCAACAGACCCAGCACAAGAAATGGTTGGGCACTCGCCTGAAATGTCATTGCAAACAGTATAATTTGAAAATCTGGACTGATTGTGGTAGGAATACACGACATGATTACGAACGAGACATGGGGTATTGTACTTAGAGATGTTTGGAAAAGGCAGAACTATAATGCTTTTCCAGATAGCGTACAGAGAAATGGTTCTATGATCGAAAATCTACACTTTGAGGAGATAAGTACCTGATATTTGACATCGTACTTGACGGGGTCCTTGAGGAAGTATTTAAACTGCACAAGTCATGAGAGCATGGATTAGTCAAGTATTTACTTTCCTCATAACTAAAAGGGTACGATGGTCATACATAAGTATAATAAATTATAGTTCAAGAGTAATTTAGATCTAAAGGTCTTATTCCTCAGTAAAGTTCTTCTTCGACCAAATCCTAAGAATTTCATATCAATATGGCCGTTTCTTGTTAACTTTTTGTGCGCCTTTCAAAGGGCAGATTTTCGTGTTTCGTATCATGGGTCTTACTTTGCAAGATTTTTTTTTTTTTTTTTTGGTCTTTCTTAATGGCTAAAGCTTCTATAGTTTATCTTCAGTTTGGTTTGTTGTTGATCTCCCTCTTTTTGGCTTTACATCTTCACAGCTTCCCTCGTGTGCTTTTGGAGGATTTTATCTTGTCTTCAGCGGCCATTTTGTGTTATTTGGGAGGGCTCTTTTTCGTGGTTTGGCTTTAGGGGTTTCTTTATTTCCAAGCATTTTTTTTTTCTCACTATCAGCATCCTGTCTGTTTTTTTTGTGGGGTTTGAAGTCTGAAGATTTGTTCAAGGCTCTAGAGGTTGGTTGGGATATGGAGCCCGATGCCTATTGTAAAACATCTAGTAGAAATATATATGGTAAAGATTTGGTAGAGATATATTTGATAGATTATGTCTTAAATCTGTTAAATAACCCCGGTCCTTCGAAAATGTACTTTTTTTCATTTTCTATATTCTTTCTTATTGTATATATACATAAAATCATCAATAAAACCTTTAGTCAATATTCCTCTTTAAATTTTCTCTATCTGTTCTTTGTGTTCATCTTGATTGAGTATGTGCGTTGTTGAGCGATCCTAACAACCTTGTTCTTTTCTGTTTCCTAGTTCAACATTGGGGCTCCCTTTATGGAGTTTTTATCTCTTTAGCATTAATATCTTTTTATCTATTCAATCTTGTTAAAATAAAGAGATTTACCTGGAAAAAAATTTGGGGAGCGATTAGAGCAAGGAGGGCCAATGCATAATACGGCTTACCAGCTCCCAACAGATAACCTGCAATAAGTAAACATCATTTATGGTCACATTCATTTCAAACACATCATAGGGGACAGTGTATTTTAACTTTCAAATCAACGCCTTCAATTTACATTAGATGTTACAATAGTCATCATGATTTCGGGTTCTACATCGAAAATAAATAGGATGATAGCAGTAAGAAAAGCAAAGATCAAAAGTAAAAAGTTGTTAGAACTTCAGCTGCGAAGAACACCATTGTCAGACTGAGATTCAGGGATTATTTTTGTGGACCTAAAAGAGACATCCAATAATCCATCTTCCCAACAATCAAAAAGCCTTGTATTTTAAACTCACTCCGTTGAGTTGCAAACAAATTTTTGGGATCCTTGTCCATTATTACAGGGAACTGCTTTATTGAGTCAGGAAAATATCATTTCCAGTACTTTTACCATTGCTCAATTCCTTCAATGACTAACAGAGTTATAGATGCTAGGTGTCACAGTTGTAAGTTGTAATCTTCCAACCGTGCGGCACCATGACAAACAAACAATCATGGAAAACGTTAAGAGGAATTCAAGCCTCAATATACTTCTTCGCTCTTTTTTGTGACTTCGTCTCTGAGATCTCACATCGGTTGGAGAGAGAAACGAAACATTCCCTGGTGTGGAAAGTTCTCCCTAACAGACGCGTTTTAAAATCGTAAAGCTGATGGCAGTACATAACGGGCTAAAGCGGACAATATCGGCTAATGGTGTGCTTAGGCTGTTATATCGTCGGACCTTAGGCAATGCAGCTTTACTAGGCCATTGCCTATACAAGTCCCAAGGATCAACCTTGTCTCTACACTATGTCAAGATCCTTTAAACCCAACATCGCAATATTTCTCCTTGGTTCTCGACAACACAGCCCACAGCCCATGCATTTCTACATTAATCCTAAACTTCACCGGGATGTGTTATGGACCCTCCATTGGGTTGAAACAACCTTAAAACTCTGGTGCTTACTGGGAGCATAACTATGCAACCCAAAACTTATTGAGCTATTTTAATGCTTACCGAGACACAATGGGCAAGTATTGTGCCAACGAGGAACAATTGGGTCCCCTTGATGCTTCATGATATCACCCCGAGCATCCGGTTGTCATCTACCTTTGCTACTTGCTCGGAGACACTTATCGACAACTAACTCATGGAGTTATCTTGTCTTCAAAACCTCCTGAACATCCATCCATCTGAAAACCATTGTGGCGTCAACCCTTTCGTGTTCGTGCCGACTCATTTTTTTTATTGTGCTAAAGCCAAACCCTATAACGCCAACCTCTGACCCATGGAATTTCAGCACACCCATGTCACCCGACACTGTTTATAGAATCTCATTACCAAAGGAAGAAGCTCAAGACACTTGTCTTGCAATGCTCCCTCACACCATGACACTCGCATGTGCCATGAGGTGGCACACTTCACACATGAGACCACCTATAGTAACACTATAAGGGGTTTTTGGTCTTACATCCATACTCATCAAAATGACGAGGAGTCATATTCCAACGTGGAGCACATGTTTAGCGCTGATTGACACCGAATCTGGCCGGCTTGAATCTTATACCCATGCATGTAACTCCAAAGTCTCTTGCCCAAACTCATGACGGAATCTTGACTTCCAAGTTCATGGCCCACGGGACCATATGGCCCTATCAAGCTTGTCTCTGAAACAACAGACAAAACTGTCGCTTCTCTTCTTGCTTGCGCCTTAATTTGACTTTCTTGTAAGCTCTTAATGGTGTGCTAGATGATGCACCATCCTTTCTCCTCAATCGTATCATGGCATTTCTCTCTCTTGACCATTGACATGGCCCGACAGGTGACACTTGCATGTCACCCTTACTCTTGTCTATAACGTGGGAGTCACAACTTGCTTCTAGTATGGTTGTAACACTCTCCCCATGTTTAAATAGTTATCGTCTCGATGACTTACTCAGGGGCTCAATCCACCTCACCTTACAATGGATTGTGACAGTCTCCCCTACTTACATAAAAGGAAGATCCACCAAAAAGTAAATTACAAGAAAGGCCGAAACCAAGAAAAGAGCAACTTGAATTCTATGTGAAAATGATCTTGTATGCTTTAAATTTATTTCGCAAGGTTTTAAAGTGAAATTCTCTCGAGAACAAGAAGTGCCAGAAGCATTACCAGCAACAGATAGTTGAGTTATGTCAATAGCACCAACGCAAATCCATTTAGCAGTTTCAGCACCAAAAGCTACTGGAAGTGACTGTAAAAGCAGTAAACAACAAAAGCTGACATTAAAATAACAACACCAAAATAAACCTGATAAGACCTATATTAATTTTACGAAATCAAAGACCCTGTTTTAGAATGAAATACCTGAAGTCCCATAGCTCTATCCCCCTCAATACTTTTGAAATCGTTTACAATGGCTATTCCCAACTGGTTATGGCAAAGCAGAAGGCAGTCTCATTAGTATTGGATTTTGCGAAAACACAAACTCTGAAAAAGAAATTGAGAAGCATACTCCAGCTATGCTGTACAAGAGTGTGAGAACGACAATATCAGGAGTGAGAGTTCCAAATAAAGCTTGACCTGCCCACCTGAGATTGAACATTGATTGTTACTGGAAAAGCAAACTTATCATATAAGAAAGAACAAGATAATTTTAAGCTATATATGGTTACTGGTAGAGCCTGGAACAAGCCAATTAATTGTGCATAAATAATAAACCAAAGATAGAACCAGCCATCACGGGGGTTCCATATATATGTGGTTCTACTCAAAGTGGATTAGACGTGGATAAAGTATTCATTATATGAATAGGCGAGGATAAAGTGTAATCATGGTCAATTGATTTCAGTTCAGTTTGTGGTCAATGGAAGAAGGATGTTCTCCTATGATAAGCTTTTGTCTATCATAAAACAGAATGCTCAAAAGTCCGACTTGATTAGGCCATTCAAATGAGTGCAAATATTGACTGCTAACCAGATATATAGAAAACTTTCAAACTTTCATATGAAACAGAAATAACTTGGTCAACCAGTCAAATTACACAGAAATGACTGGTAAGACTTTATTGACCACCAATTTATATCAATTTACCAAGATCTATGGATCACAGGATTACGCACCATGGTAAACTGATATAACTTGCCCCGAGAGCAAAATTTCCAATCCAACCATTTTGTTTCAGCTGCAACCACATAGAAAATGTTCTTAGCATTCAGAAGATCCACTTTAGAGACGATAAACTTTTTGTGTTACCTTTAGAGGTGGAGCGGAGTATATATACGATAACAGCGAACCACCCAGAGCAAGGTAAAAGACTACAGGGAAGTCATGCCCTGCCTGGAAATGACAAAAACAAAGTTCAGGAAAAACAATCCATATGAACGATGAGTATGATCCTTCAATTTAATGAACCTACCCACACATCCAACAAACCAGCCAAGCCAAGTCCTCCCAGAAGCAACACCCAAATTTGAGTTATAACCTGATAAAATTTTATGGATGAAGAAACCAATAAGGATTGATTATACATGCCTTTGCAAACGGATATCAATTGGTTTAGCTCATACCTCATTCTCAGATATTGCCCCAGATGGGATTGGACGATAAGGTTCATTAATTGCATCGATTTCTCGGTCATACCAATCATTGATTGTCTAAAAAACCAAAGGGCCAATTCTATCTCATTTGTGCTTGAATACTTTCATAAGGCAGAGGAAAACTTTGAAAGGAGGAGAGTTTACCTGTGTGTAGCCAGTGAGAAATGGACCAGACATAAGCATGCAAGCAATTGATTTTGCCACATCCTCGAAATTCCAATGGAAGTTACCTGTAAATGAAAATCTTGTATCGTTGAAGGTACATTAAATGGTTCAACGAGGTAACTAATCAATGAAGCAGAAAAATTCCAGTTAGTACAATCCCCAATTTATCTATAAGCGTAATCACTCTTTTGACCCCCATCAGATGCATTAGACCATATATACAAAACTTGAGAATGGATCTTTAAGTTTTGATATGAGAAGACCTTGTTAATTCTTATCAGACACGAAGACAAAGAAGTAAATTCATCAAAGATTTTCAAATGCAACTTTAATGTCTTCCTATGTAAAAAATGAATACCAGAAGCAGCAGCACCGCATACTACTCCCCAGACCAATGGGGGCCATGTAACAGGCTTTGTCAATTGAAGACGAATCTTCCATTTATTCTGCACAAAGTGCACATGACGAACTTAATAACGAATTATTGTAACATATACATTCAAATCTTCCTAAAAAACAAGCTGAGGACACGGTAACTCACAGTTTCTTGCGCAGCACCTTTAATTCCAAGAAGCTGGTTGAAGCTCGAACCACCACTAGCCGTCGCCTTATCTGGAGCCTGAGATTTAACTGACCAATACGAATAAGAAAAACATAAATACGAAGCACAGGATGAAAAGGAAAAAGACAATAAAAGCAGCTCAAATTTAATCATTTCTCAAGTTTCGAGAAATATACGCGGCTAGATTTGAAGTATTTCATTAGTCGACATTAAAAAAGAAAGCAAGCTGAAAGAAATAAAAAACGCATGAAAAACCTTCATTGGCGTCAGTTTCAGCGGCAACAACCAAAAGCCTCCTCCCTGGAACAGTAACAAATCGTCGTTACCAACACAAAAACGAAATCAGCACTTAAAATCTCAAAATCCACACCAAAGCCAGAGAAGTCCACAAAGAATAATAACAAGAAAATTGGAAAATTCATGCATATAACATAGAACTAAAAAAGATCATTCTTCAATTCTGAAGTTCTTCAATGTCAATGTGTATTAATTTTTGTCATTATCAGAAACTAATGAAAGCATTGCAGAGTGAACTCACTAGAGAACGAAACAGAAACCGGTGATAGAGTAGAGTGAAATCGAACTCGATTGGCTTGGATGCTCGATAATCTCAGAGATGGAGCTGTATTCAATGTTAACGCCATGGAAGCACAATCTCCGTTCCTTCTTGGAGCTCCCACTGAGAATTGCGGATATTGCGCGGTTTAAAAAAAAATAGACTACGGTGAAATTGAGCCGTCTGGTGGGAGTTGATAACTTAACCACTTAGCTTTGGATTAAATAAAACTAACCCGAGGAGGGTAATGTTATTCTACGTCCAAGCCTATGGTAATTAAGGTGCTCTCACTTACGATGGCTTGGCTGTCTTAAAATTTGTTAATTAAATGTATTTTTATTTTTTCAGAAATAATAATTTGGGAAAATATTATTCTAAAAATATAATTAAGTTGCTTCACACGCAAATAATTTGTTTAAATGGAAAAAAACATATATATATATATATATATATATATAAATATCCGATTTACCTTAACAACAAGAGATTCAAAAATAGAAGCAATTGGGCTGGCCCATTGGGCCTAGTCAGACAAGCATTTGTTTTTGTTTTTTTCTTTTTTTTCTTTTTTTTTTTTTGAGAATTTTTTAAGTTAAAAAAACAGATATTTGTGTGAAATTATATATTTTCTTACCACGTCTTTAGAATAGTTCTATTTTCTTAATAAAAAAATATTTTTTTTCAATAAAATGTATATTATTTATATATATATATATATATAATTTATTTTTTATTTTTTATTTTTTATTTTTTTGGCAAAGGAACAATTCCGAATTTTGGGTTTAATAATTTAATGTAGTGGCTACAACTCCCACAAGCATCTTTACTAATAAATAATTCCAAGAAATGTTCCGTTTGTAGAAATCATATTCCATTTATTATGCTTTAGGATTTTTATTATATTTTTTATTCGTGGTATACTTTTTAAGAATAATGTTAAAAATAATTTTAAAAAAACAATAGAATTTAAATTGTTTGCTTAGTTTTAGGTATATTTTGACTTTATTCTAGATTTTACCGATGGTAAAATTTTATTATTTTGAAAAAAATTGAAAGTAATATTTGCAAATATGCCAAGTTTATTAAATTATTCTCTTTTTGAAGTTTTGTGGACACGGATTTAAAAGAATATTATTTATTAATATATAATAAAGGAATATTTGTTTGTAGCTTCCTATTTGTGTTATTTAGGAATGTGCCGAATAAGGAGAACACCTCGAGTAACCTAAAGTTACTATCGTCATCATAACCTATGCTCTTATGCAGAATTAAACCTTTTAATTTTTTTCATAAAACATTGTCTTGAACTTATATGTTCAAAATCATCTTTAAAACAACATAAGAAAACACTAAATAAAACAAGTAAAATATTAAAAGTAAAAACATCGTATACTAACTTGTTCACGACCCATAGGCCTTCTACCTCCACGCGGCATTGCTCTGTCAGGCTTTCGTCCATTGCAGAAAATTCCCCACTACTGCCTCCCGTAGGAGTCTGGGTCATGTCTCAGTCCTAGTGTGGCTGATCATCCTCTCGGACCAGCTACTGATCATCGCCTTGGTAAGCTATTGCCTCACCAACTAGCTAATCAGACGCGAGCCCCTCCTCGGGCGGATTCCTCCTTTTGCTCCTCAGCGTACAGGGTATTAGCAGTCGTTTCCAGCTGTTGTTCCCCTCACAAGGGCAGGTTCTTACGCGTTACTCACCCGTTCGCCACTAGAAACACCACTTCCCGTCCGATTTGCATGTGTTAAGCATGCCGCGAGCGTTCATCCTGAGCCAGGATCGAACTCTCCATGAGAAAGACTAAGAAAATAAAATACCACTATCTTGTACACGTGTCATGGTTTCTACTTGTGCTGTCGTCACCAGTCGTACAAGGATGTCTTGCCTTTACATGAAATAGAAGAAGCACACAAATGGAGTATTTTAAGAAATATTCAATAAGTGACTCATTATTGAGGTTATGGAATGCAAACACATGTTCTAGGGACCTATCGTTAAAACCATCATAGTGGTGGCTTCCAATCCGGACAAAATTGGACGTGTAGTACTTTCCTACACATGACCCACACATGAGAGCGTGGTTCTCTAGGCGGTTCGCACCCTTTGGACCCATCATAATCGAGCTAGTTGTCCGTAGCGACGTTCAAAGATCAGCATACCCCTAAGTGTCATACGAGGTATGACCACCATCATCATCATAGTGTACACATCCATACTCATCATCATAAATGGGAAAGTATCCTGTAGTATATAAACACACATGGTGAGATCTCTGTAGTTTTCATCTTTAAATCATTTTTATGACACAACCTATACACCGTTTACATATTACTCTAAGTAACATGCACACATTAGCCTTCATACATTCATCATGATTAACATTAACTAGAGTTGTGTCTTTGAAAACTCGTCGTCATAATGCATCGTGGCATTTAATACATGCACGTCATATTAATATGGAACATATCATATTAAGTCATTTCATCATCATAGGTCTCTCATCATGTTATTATTATGCATCATCATGTCAACAACACGCACATCATCTCATCATTGCATAGTATCATCACATCATCACATCATTATGTAATGTTATCATATAACATCATCACATCATTATTTAACGTCATCATATCATTATTTAACAACGTCATCACATTATCATATAACGTCATTACATCATCATATAACATTATCACATCATCATACAACATAAAATATAAATTACTCGTGCAAGAACCACTGGGCACGTTTCTTCATGTACAAGACAAGTCTTCCGACTGAGTCGATACTAAGGTCACTTACTTGGTTAGCTTAGGTTGAAGCTATTGCAACTCTTTAATGCTAGCTTAACGTTGCTCTTTGAAATTTAATTCTGCCTAGAGAGCTAACAATCATGAATTAAAATTCTACTTATAGAAATTGGCTCACCTAATTTATTTATCAATAATTTAAACTTACTCATAATAATTCAAATTAGTAAATCGCTCACCTAATTTTACATAAAATAATTTAAACTTACTCATAATAATTTAAACTAGTTAAGTTTAATTATGCATAAATACTTCAAACTTGACTCCAAAAATTTAAACTAACTAAAAAGTAGTTTTACTAATCTTTAACGCTTCATCCTACTAACCCGCTTCCGAAAAATTGAAACTAAGAGGAAAGAGTCCGAGCATACCAGGCAATGTGGGACATTTGCTTTTTTCTTTTTTTTAATCTTTGGGTTTTACACAAACTACCTAGGTTGAGTTGGGTTAGATTCTTTCTGTTTGGGTTAGGGTCGAGTTTTTAGAAAATAAAAAATTTATGACGATTTATAGGTTTACATTTTTTTTTTTTTTTTTTTTTTTTCAG